CCTTCTTCAACTCTTACACGTGTGACCTCTTCTAAATAACCCCTACCACCACATAGCATCAACACACTTCAAAGATACGAGTAGTATAACACTGGGCCAACTTATCCTAGGAGCCAGGAGACCACCTGTTCCAAGTAACAATCATTCTGGTTGAGTCTGTGACATGCAAGGATGTTTTTCATTAAAATACAATAATTTACTTTCATCACTGCTTTTCACCGAAAACATTTCTTGCAAGAGCACTTCCCAGAGACTTCCTTGAAATTAAGTTCCTCTCAGTTGAGGGCGATGGGGATCCAGATGTGTCTCACCAATGCTCTGAGGTGTGATGTTAGGCATTTATCACCAATGTGATAATGTGCAGATGTTTGTGAGTTGTTAAAAAAAGACAGCTTTGCACTCCTCAAATTTCATTGCCGGAACAGAAGAACCATCCCCACACACATCCACCACAGTCATGTTACTAACATACGACAGGAGAGGAGGGCTCCCTCATTCCCTGGTCACGACTGTGGTGCAGGCCTATTCCTAATACTCTGCTAGCAATTTGAACTGAGTCCCGTGGAGGAACAAGAGAAAGATAATTCAAGGGAACTATGAAACCTGGAGAGGCACTTGAACACATACCCCCCCCCCCCCCCCGCGCGCCAAACAGATCAGACCACAAAAACAATACACGGGAAAAGCAAGCTTGATTCATTATTTTGCTGCATACACCAATTTAAAGGAAAGTATTGCTCCCGTCCACCTTTCCACTGTTCCTAGAACTACGTACTTCAAGGTGAACCCTGGGTTCCCTAGTGAAGTTTACAGTGATGGAGATTCTGAGGAAAGGGGACGGCTTTCAACAGTCTGAGGAATTACCAGTTTCACCTGGGGAAAGCGGCATTAAGTGAATGGCCCTCACACAGCCAGAAAGCCAAGCAACGTTGTCTCTAAGTATGAAACATAAACATTTATAATTGCAGCATCTTGTATTGAGGTCGCTAAAGCGAGTATCAAGGATGTTCAGCCAATCAAGGGTCAATGTCTAACAAACATTTAACAACTCACACGACGTTCACAGTCTTTGGGGCAGTGCAGAATGGATAAAGAAGCAGGTCACCTCTAACTTTTGGCCAGGCGCTGCTTGTATTCATTTCTTTTAAAGTCCATTTGACAACAGGCTAGAGTTGAAGGAAATCCCAGTTCATGGTACTTCCAAGGTGAAAATGAAAAATTCTAATAAAACTCACAGCCTTGAGAAGAATTTCAAGTGGCCTATTGCCTTAGCCTTGTCTTATTTTGCTCACGCACCGGGAAGAATTGAAGGACAGACTTTGTGACTTTTGCTCTGGAGGCTAAATTTTATTCTCAGTGGAGCCCCTTTACTGGCGGCTTGAATACTTGGCTACTTGTTTTATCAGCATGGCCTTGCTTCAGTGAACTGGAGAATTGCAACACACACCTGATGAACAAGGCCGCTGGCTGAAGAGGTGTGTGTATGTGTGTGTGTGTGTGTGTGTGTGTGTGTGTGTGTGCGCGCGCGCGCGCGCACTTGATTTATGCAAACACTAAAACTACTCTGAGTGCAACAACTCAAACTGTTCCTCTTCTTTTACTTTTTCTTCTTGATACAGCTTCAGTAACATCTGCATGAGATTCCAGGTTCATCTTATTTTTTAGTGGTACGTGTCATGTGACTGGAAGGCCCGACTGCCCGTGGCCGGGCATCATTCAAGAGCAACACGCCTTTCCCATATACATTATCTCATGGGTGCTTTGTTACTGGCCCCAATGTCAGAGTTGGGCCTCATAAAGCTGGCTACGTTAAGACCAAAATAATGTCGTTTAGTGTCTAGGGGGAGGTTAAGAGGAGGATTAGAGGAAGGCGGGCAGGCAAAGGGATATTAAACAAGTCCATGACTAACAGGGTGTGACAGAAAATAGTTTCACTCTTTTCAACAGAACAATTCCCCACGGCTGGGCCCATTACTCCACTGCGCCTTTATCACCTTGGAATTTTTATGGTTATTTTTGATGAATTCACATTTTTGTAAAGCCCTTTTTGAAATCATGCCAGTTTTCAATTTTTAATTAAAGTCGTAAATAATCTTAATTCTGCCTTAAAAGGTTTATTGTTTCTTTCTTTTTTTTTTTTATTACTGATGCCAGGAAATATTTCAAATAGCAAGTCCTGATGTGAGTGAGCAATTAGAAGCTCTCTAAGGTCTAGTGACAACATTGTACCGTGTAAATAGAACACACTGGGATATCGACATGAGACTTAGCAGCCTGGACAGACTGATTTGGGTTTATCAGCAGCTGCTTCTCTTGAGAATGACACTGCCTCTTTTCTTAAGTGAAGAAACTTTCATCATTTTAATTTCATCAATCAACCATCACAGATTGAAAAAAAAAAAAGACTTTTCGGGAAGTAAACACTATAAATTGTTACTGGGGGCTCAAAAAAGAAAGTCACCTAAGTTTGATTTATCCATTTGCACATAACAGGTGGGCACATTAGAGAGGGACTCTTTCACTTTACATAAATCAAAATTAAGGGAGAGCTTCAAAGTCTGACACGAGATCACCAGGCTTCTGAGAGCCCTGCCTTTGGTAACTAGACTGCCTGCCGACAGCTGCAAGGGCTCTGTAAACACAATCACATCTTAAAGTCTCAGGGTCTCCTTTCCTCTCCTGTGCTCTATGAACTTCACACAATACTGTCACCAGCTGGCCAGACTGGCCTTCCAAACCTTCTGAGACAGGGAGTTTACTATCTCCCAAGTCATTTCATAACGGAGATTTTGTGGACTATGTGGTGGGTGTGGGCTCATATGCATATCCATGTGTAGGTGGGTACACATGTGTGCACACCTGTGGGGAGAGGCCAGCAGCCAGCCTCGAGTATTTTCCTCAGGAGCTGTCCACTTTGCTTTTATGTCCACCTCTCAAGTAGTGAACACACATACACATGCCACCACACACATGTGCATGTTACCACAGGTGGGCTTATCAACACACATATGCACATGTCACCACACACATGGGCACGCCACCACACACGTGGGCGTGCCACCACACACATGGGCGTGCTACCATAGGTGGGCTTATCAACACAAATGCACAAGCTACCACACACATGGGAATGCCGCCACACACATGTGCGTTGTACCACAGGTGGGCTTATCAACACACATGTGAGCATGCCACCACACACATGGGCATGCTACCATAGGTGGGTTTATCAACACAAATGCACATGCTGCCACATGCATGGGCATGCCACCACAGATGGCTTATCAACACAGATGCACATGCCACCACACGCATGGGCATGCCACCACAGGTGGCTTATCCACACACATGCACATGCCACCACAGATGGTCTATCCCTGAGCGTGAACTCTGGTCCTCACACTCTCACAGTGAGCACTTCACCGGTGAGCTCGATCCAGTACCCAAGCTTTGTCTAAACAAATGAGGATCTTCTATCCATGGCAGAAACGTGTTGAAACTTGGTTCATTTAGTGTTACATTTGGATTGAGTTGGTTACCTGACGTGTTTAAGGGACTTTATAACGAAATTAAGGGAGTGTTAAGGACAAGGGTTTTTAGTCACTGGCTTCTAGTCAAAAGTGCGTGTTTTCGTACTTCTTCGGGATTTGATATTTGCTGTTGGGAAATCTCTATAGGTTGTTGATACTGCATTTTTTTTCTGTCTTGCGGTGCAGCTAGCTTGAATGCCAGCTGAGGGCTGACATACAGGAAGTCCTTAACCAGGTCTTCCTTTGAGAAAGAAAACACTCAGCTGCAAGGGTTTGACAGATACACTTAACTACTTACAAAACTACTTGTAAATCAACTGTAATTTCTTTCTCTAGAAATATATTTAAATCTCTTTATTTTGGAATACAAATAAATTATTATCTAGAATCACTAGGCATGGTTTGAATATGACTTGAAGTTAAGAAAGCAAAGGGATTTTTTTTAATGTGAATAAAATTATCAAACTGAAAGAACAGTGCTTTCTCTTAAAATAGCACATGATCATGATTGGATTCTGTAGCAGGATCACTGTCTGTTGACTTTGTCATTGTCTGTATCTTATAAATTCAAGGGAATGAATTATATTCATTTTGGAAAAACCCAGTCCTCTGGGTGAGAGAGGGTTTTCATTCTCAACCTGACAAATCTCTCCCTGCAAATTGTCCCCAGTAAGTGAGGTTTTACTAATAATGTAAGATGAGGGCACCTTCACAGCATGTCATGGCATGAAATATTATTGTCTCCTATGGAGACAACAATGATGCTCACATGTGTTGGAATCCATGGGGCATTTTTAGAGATTGTTAATGGCTTTCATTGTATGAAAATGTGCTTTGGCCTCATATTAAGGAAGAGTAGTCTTGATTGTGTGAACATTCTTGAAGCACTAACTGGAAAAGAAAAAAAAAAAGGCTAGCTGGATGACCTTTGACATTTATTCTGAATCTGTGACATCCTAACACCTGCAGAATTTGAAATTTGCATCAGTCCCTCACTGATGTCAAAGTCCATTCAGGTTTAGTACTTTATCCCTTCCAGTCCTGTTCTCACACATAGTGCCTATCAACCATCCTCAAGCCAAGCACAAGGAATGTGCTCTTCAAATCCTAGGGAGTCTCCCAAGTCCTTCATTACAGCTGAAATTACTTGAGCTGACTGCTAATATTATGAAAAAGTTATTTCTCCAGAAAGAGCTTCCAGAAATTTCCATAAAAGCTTTTTGTTATTAACATTTCCTGGAGTTGGTAGCTGGCATTAATTTTCTCTGCAAGTTTCCCTAGAAATTTTTACATGACGGTATTAGTTGTGCCAACCACAGTCTTGCTGAGGCCTCAGGGAAAACGTCCCTCTTCAGTACCAAGCACAGGATATCTTCAAAGTCAAAGGGTTCTAATGCCCCGCCAAAACGCTGTGACTGCAAGAGTAATTCCAACATGCCTTTCCCGGCTGGACAGTTCTCTGAATCTTACCTTTTTCCTTGCCTGTTGCTCTTTGGAAGAGTGTGCTTTCACGTGCTTTCTGAGGGAGCTTGGGTCGGTGTAGCGTTTTGTACATCCTGGAATTTGACAAGCATAAGGTTTCTGAACGAGAAAGAGAGAAAGAGCAAGCTGTGGTTAAACCATAAAGGTCACAGGGTCATGCTTTACTCAAAATGCTCAGAGCATGAACTGCTACCAAACGACAGGTGTCAAAGGCAGGGTAATACTCATGCATGTTAAGCAGGACGCCCAGGAATTCTGCGTCACGGGGATGAGAACAGTCAACTTCCAAAACGCCCCACGGAGATGCAATAGCCTTGATTTTGAAGACATTAACTTACATTGCGGTGTGACCATAAAAATCTCTTGAAGAAATTTTAACATGGAAGTTATACTTACAGTGACTCCCCTGAGAAAATCATTGGTACTGTCAGAAATAGTAAACAGATTCTTTAAGAGTTCAGGTAAGGAAGCTGTAGAAAAGTCCAGAAAAGACTGGGTATGGTTCAGAGGGTACCTGATTCAGAAAGAGGGAAAGAATTAAGAAGGAAAAATTAGTATAAAGTGAGCAAGAAACAGTAGGTCTCAAACAGCAGACACATGAAAACTCAGCCAGAGGAAACAGTCAGTGACATTATTAGTCACAGAGAAGTCAAGGCTGAGTGACAGGAATGAGCCCTTAGTGGAGGGACAAGGGTGCAAATCTGCCCCTTCCAATTTGCTGTGCAGCAGAGAGATGGGAAGTATATGGAAACGTGAGGACTGTCCCCAAGCGCTTGGCACCTAAGGTCGAAATGAATGCATCACCACCTAGTACTGACTTATCAAGGGTTGAGAGGCAATGACTTTGGCTGCAAGCTAAACCAAAGTCTGATATCTATTCCAAGAACTTAAAAAAATAAAACCAGGAGTAATTGTTTAGACAAGATGAATTAATTATCAGCTGCTGTGGAAAATGAGAGCTGGGTCCTCCATGGGAAAATAAAGAGGAAGATCTGGAATCTTCTCTTGGTAGGATCCTTCTCTGGCCGCCTGCTCTGCTAAGGACAAGAGCACACACCACGGCTGCTCTTACTCTGCCCTGCTCTTGTTTTCATGTGCACATCACTGCCTGAGTGAAGGTGGACTTTCTCATTTGTTTGCTGGGAGAAACGTTCAGAACTCACTGACATTTTGCCATTTTTCTCATTCCAAGAACAGGACAGAATGATGGTATATCATTTATATCATTCCATTTGAAATGTCCCATTTGAAGACTGGATCTGATTACTCACTGACTGGTCTTGACTTATTCTTGATTGACTGAATAACCTAAAATTAGGCTACCAGGATGTGCTAGGCCCTGTATTGAATTCTAAGAAACACTAACAACAAATGAAGGGTGAATAAGAACCAGGCCCTCAGCTCAGTTTTTTTTTTTTTTTTTTTTTTTTTTGTAAGTTGAGCAATTATTGGCTAAAGGCACTTGTTAAGAAGTTTCCATCAGGGAAAGATTTTGCTTTAACCTGGGAATCTTTTCTGAGTTCATTCAGCCTGGCTGACCTAGCCTTCCCTACTCTGCCTTCACCTCAGAGAAGCAAGTGGCCAATACCTAACCTTACAAGAGGCTGCAGCAGGTGCCCACACTTGAGTCTTTGAGCATGAGAGGGAACTTGATGGAAGAAGGCTTATGAACACCGGTGTGCTCTAAAAATCTATGCTACTGCAAACAGGCTTGGGGATGCCATGTAACGGTTGATTTCAAATACTCTTGGAGAAAGCTTGACACACACCACTCCTTCCAACTGGCCTCGAGGTTTTCCACTGTGTATGCCGCTTAAGGCCAGGATGCCCAATCAGCTCTCAGGCTCTGCTGTGGACGGGAGTGCTAGCCTACAATTTTATCTCTGATTACCCAAGCTTTACGTGGCACACTGTCCTCCATCAAAAGAGGCATTTCATTATTTTCCAGCTTTGGCCTGAGTAATTACTTCTCTTATTTAGAGGTAAGATGTTAATAGACACAAATATTAATAAAAAGCTTTCAGGGTTATTATAATGAAGTGAATAATCTTTGTGGGTAAAGAATGTGTTTAGTTGAAAAAGATACCTTTATCCTACAACCCTGACAGCTTTCATAGATGGAGTGATTAATGGACAGGAACCCAAATTTAAGTTATAAATTCTTCAAGCAGCTGGTTTGCTTTGGAAAACAAGCATTTCATTTCTCTATGCTCTTGAAGAGCTTACCAATTTGTTAAAGGAAGTAAACATTTGCATAAGAAACAGTTTGGATCTTAAGGAAAGTTTTAACAGGTGAAATAGAGAAAATCATTTTTAGCAAGATAAAATGACTGGGTTTTGAAGAGATGTTACACTGAGTTCAGTTCATAAAATCATTATCTTATGCAGCTTTATTTAAAGGTTTTTAAATGTCTGTACATGTTTACTGCTGAAATTACATTATAAAATGTTTTATCTGATTAACCAAAATTAGTGCCACAGAAGGGTATTGTTGAAGAGCCACACATTTCCTCAAGGATGGCTTGGAAACTACAGAGAAGTGACTAACTGGAAAAACTCCTCAGGATGATCTTGGTTTGTGAATGAATGGTCACACTTCTATGATGAGGTTTCATGACAAACTGGAAAATATATTGGATTGTACCAAGCCATTTCAGATACAACAAAATAGGACATTTAACGCAATTTATTTGCATTTTTGATATGTTGAAAAATTTCAGCACTTTCCATATATTTATGTAATATTCTATTCAACTGGTCCTGAACAAATCGATTAATTCTATTTGTCTAAAGCAGTAAAGGTTTATTGTTTGCTCAAATTGTGTTAACTGTGTTTCAGGTATTTACCAGACAAACCATCACATCTATTCATATTATACGATTCTGGTAAGAGAGGTTATGTGACACACAGAGCTAAAATGACTTCTATAAATATGACTAATAGAGACTAATATAAAATGTAATAAATATGTCAACTATAACATCAGTAAAACCTGAACTATGTATGAGAAGGTGTGTAGAAATAACAGTATCTTTTCAAAATTCATGCTCTGGTGTAGTTTAATAATAGACATCAGAACGTTAACACCGAGAAAGTACTGTCATGAATACATTATTTGCAGGAACGTGGGATAAGAGATGCGTGATGTGTGTAATACATTTATCCCAACAGCTTTGTCAAGTGAAGTGAAATTACACAGCATCTACCTGGCCTCCCATAAAGAAAATGGCATCAAAGCTTGAGAACGCAAAGGAGTGTTATCTACATAATGGGGGAAATAGAAGACAAAAGTTACAGAGAAACAGCATTTGCGAGGAGCAAAATGAAGCAGCATTAAGGGAGTTAAGGGTGTGAAAATAAAATCTCAATTGTTCTCATAAGGTTGATAAAAATGGATGTGTGGCTGCTAACGCAGAAAAAAGCGTGTATGAAATGAACTCGGGGAGAGATCTGTTCTGTCTTTTCAGATCAACTGTAGGTGAAAATAACAGATGGTTTCTAACGCACAAGACCAGATTCATGTTAACACCACGCTGGCTGAGAAGACAGGTCAGGAGGACAAGAACCGGGGTCAACACATAAATACTGTATGGCATAGTCCTCCCAGTTGCATAACGTTGTCTATTTTGGTACAGCCTGATGCGTTAATAATTACTTTAATTATCTCTAGTAGCCATTCTGTGGGCCAACATCTACTGCATGATAGACCCTGAAATGCTACAGAGAAGGGACTAAAGAATCCCTTGACCCCAGAAAGTTCTAATAGGTAGCATAATTCATGACCACAAAAATTAAAAATAAAAAAGAATGTAGCAGCCACACAGGGCACCTCTGTGGGGACTTCACTGTGTTCTGCTGTGCTTGGCACTGCCCCTGTGACCTGCAGGCCATAAAGCAAACGCCTCCACCATCCTACCATCAGAGGGGCCCTTTGGCACGCGCAGCTGAGGCTGGAAGGTGGCAAGCCCCTGCCGTCCTTACAGTGTCAAGATGCGTCCTCTGGTGCTTGGCACGGTCACTGGAGTTGCTGAAAGCCTTCTGGCAGCCCGGGTGCTGGCACAGGTATGGCTTCTCCCCCGTGTGGCTCCGCAAATGAATCTTGAGGTTCTCAAGCCTTGAAAAGGCCTTCTTGCACCCTTCAAACTGTGCAAAGAAAACAAGTTTTAGTGATTGAGAAGGACCCCGAATGCCTGAGACGAGAGGAGAAAAACAACCATTAGTCTGTACTTCGCTAACAGAAAGATGAAATTCAATCCAAACAGTAGCAAATACTGCTGCTAAAAATACCCATATGTTTATGTGAATTGCATCTTTCCCACAGCATATACATGCCACGTTCCATACCAGATTTTGGTCCCAAACTGGTTTCTGTGATTACTTATGTCAGAGACAACTCACTGAGAGCCATCTGGCTCAATCAATAGAAACATAGTAATGTGTATCTTAGAAGATTTATTAAAAAAAATTAACACACTTTTCTATTTCCAAATTGGTCTACATTAAAGCAACTTGGAAGGAAGAAACTTTCAACAACTACTGAAACAAACAAGAGAAACCAGAGCGATATATGACAGAAAAAGAAGACAGAGAGGTCAAAGAAGAGAGGAGGAGCAGAGCAAGTACCTGCTAGACCAAGCCAATGAGACACATCCTTAAATGTTTGTCCAGCTTTTTCAACTTCCAAATGAGTGGCCAATGTTAACACGCAGGGTGATGCCAAGTTGAGTGAGTTTTCCAAATGCTTTTTAAAGGAAACTAGGAGACACAGAATTTAACTAGTGCAAAATCATTCCAAATAAAGTAACCATTATTATTATTACTAGAATTTCAGAAATTTCACTACCTAGACATGAATAAGAGAAAGATAAGAGGTTGGTCATTTTTAAATGCACATCTGTGTTTGTAGTTTGTTAATAATACAAAGTGGGACAGGCGGTGGTGGCAGACACCTTTAATCCCAGCACTCGGGAGGCAGAGGCAGGCGAATCTCTGTGAGTTCGAGGTCAGCCTGGTCTACAAGAGCTAGTTCCTCCAGGACAGGCACCAAAGATACAAAGAAACCCTGTCTCAAAAAAACAAAAACAAACATATTGAGAGGAGCATGAATTTAATAACTTCCATGGGCAAATTATCAGTTAGTATTATAGGGTCTCAATGATGCTAACATTTAAGAATGACAGTAAGGAAATGTGTTGGAGAAGGATAAAGGTGAGGTGAAGTCATCTTTGGTACAAAGCCCTAGACAATTTATGTGAATTTAACACATTTAATTCCACTAAAGTTCTCATCAGCAAGTCAAGTTAGGGATATGGGAAACAAAAACATGGGATGCTTAGAATGACTAAATCTTGATGGGTATGTTTTAGAGGAATGAAGGGGGAACAGGACAGACAGACATGCATACAGGGAAGGAGGGCCTGAGAAGGACTCTTTCCATCTGGAACTAGTTGACATTACTTAGATGCTCTACAAGGATCTCACACACCGCCTTGGTTCCCTCACTGGCGATCACAGATGGTGTAGGGCACGGGCTGTGAAGGTTTCGGTGGTTGGAAATCTCGTCACTAACTAAAGGATGAACTAAGCAGAAAGAAAAGTCGGCTCTGCCACAACTCCATCCACTTAAGTTGATCACACTCTGCACACTGGAGTATTTTAAGAAATTTATGAAAGTTGCACTTATTTTTGATTGAGAGTTATACATGTCTCACAGACATATGTTGGTTTATTTCGATTTTGATATTTTGCTTAAAATAATTTTCAGTGTTTTCCCGATTTCTATTTCACATAAAGAGTAAATTTAGCCCAAATGAAGGGAGAATGCTGACAAAGCTGACGACTTTTTCACAGCCAAGGATACATAATGCCACATTGCTGGGGGAGGGGCAGTTTCACAGCCAAGTGTATATAATGCCACACTGCTGGGGGAGGGGGCAGTTCTGGAGTTTATGGGGCCTTATTTCTGCACATTTTTAAATACGTCTCAAGTTTAAGGATCAAAGAGTTCTAATTTAACTCCTAATTCATAGCTAAAAGATCTCTGCCAAGCAAATGTGTCCTTTTAAGGTTCACTCTGAACGAAGACTCAGAGCAAAGTCCTGGAGCCCAGTTTATTTTGCTTGGAATTACCTGGGCGAGCACACTTAGCCCTGAAATGAGCTTGTGGTTTTGGACATGCTGAGCCTGTAGCCTCTTTCTCAGCAAGGCTCTTCTGTAGAGAAGATGCCAATCTGGGGCCAGGTCCAGTGGTACATACCCAGAATTGGGTGGGACACAATCTCTCGTCCCTTCTACAGTCATCTCGAATCTTACAGAGAAAGCTGCACTGTTTTTGGCACCGATGAGAAAGTGGAGAACAGTGGTATCTTGCATACCAGGGTTTCTGAGAATCCAAGATGCGTAGGATACTTCCCCCGCACCTATCATAGAGTGAGAAACCCAGCTACAAGCTTGGATGGTTCAGACTGTCCACGCGGTCACATATAAGGTATATACGCTAGCAATTGCTCATCCTGTATAGTCAATGCCCATTTAAATGTCTTTTTAGAATTAGAATTGAACTGGTTGCTATTATTGCTTTTTGTACAACCAATTAAAAAACAAAAAGCAAACAAACAAACAAAAACCCGTGGCATTCCAAGTTCCTGTGAGGAACAGAATACCCAAACTACTTAATGTAGCAAGGCTGAAGAACAACATGGTCATCCAGATAGAATAAGACAGCAAAAAGATAATCTGTAAAATAATAAAACTCTAGATGACATCAGATGTTTCCTCTACAAGAGTGGCCAGCGGACAAAGAGAAGTATGTCGTATCTTCAGGGGAAACAGAGACAGAAGGTATGACCTCCCACACTGAGCTGCCCAGTAAAGGCTGTCCTTGGAAGGCAGGAGCTCCTAATAGACACCAGCCACTCACTCTCAGCTCACTGCAAACGCTCACCTGAAGAATCTATGGACACAGGTCCTCACAGCCTGGTAGACAGCTTGGTATGGGGGCTAACACTAAATGGGTCAGAGCCACTAGAATGGGTTGTCAGGGGATTCTGGAAGAGAAAGGAGATGCCGTTTATGGCTCTAATGGCATCTGGATGGAACTTGAAAGAGAACATTGTATATTGAAGAGTTATCATGCACTATGGGATGAACCCTGGAATTCAGCACAAGAACTTCCTCTCCCTGGGGCACTTTCACCCTGGCATTCACAAGTCTGGTTAAAGGAAAATGCTTTAAAAATAAGCTAACATTTAGGCAGGCAAAAGAAAGGAAGGAAGGAAGGAAGGAAGGAAGGAAGGAAGGAAGGAAGGAAGGAAGGAAGGAAGGAAGGAAATTATAAAAGAAATCTCAAACAGCTAAGACTGGATTCTTGGAGAGTTTGGGCAAATGGATGACTTTTAATCCTCTTAGATTTTTTTTCATGACTTTTACATAGCTATTGAAAGTGTTGAAACCTGTGTAAATGCCTGGATATAGGGAAATCAGCACAATTAGGGATATTTCCTTAGTTTGATTCCCATTTACTCAGTGTGATTCTCACAGTCCAGGACATACCTAGAGAACTAGGAAATGCACTGCCAACTGGCTGATCTTCACCCTTGCTGTGCTCCCACACTTGGTTTCAGGTCCCTTCCTTCTTGGATTGTCTCTGAAGCCATGAATCCAATGGCTAGTAACTCATAATTGAATCACATATTCTGATTTGTCCTTAACTCAAAAACAGGACGATGAGATAAAACAGAACTACAACCAAACTTAAGAGTTCCAAAGGGAAGAGGAAGGACTAAAATAAGATTTTAAGAAAGAGGAAAGAACTGCAAACACGCAGGGCTATAGTGGGGCTGGGACAGTAGCAATAGGATCTGGTGTTCACTGAGTATTTGGTTCACGCTAAGTATCTTCCCCTGGCTATTAATTTGATCTAAATAGAATCTGCTCTCTGAACAAACCCTATGAACATGCTCCACTGTAGCTGCCAGGAGGCAAAATGAATAAAACTCAGTGTTTATTCAAGCAAAGATGATGAAAGTGAAAGGCAGTATGTTATACACTAGCAGACCCTGAGCAATGGTACTCAGAGTCATGCTTCCCAGACCAGCATCTGTATCCTCGGGGAACTTGCCAGAAGCATGGATTCTCTGACCCCACCACAGAACCCAAACTCTAGGTATATGGCCCATCTGTGTAAGTGGGGACCAGTGCTCTCGGAGATGCCTATGTGCGAACTGGTGCCCTCGGAGATGCCTAAGTGTGAACCGGTGCTCTCGGAGATGCCTAAGTGTGAACTGGTGCCCTCAGAGATGCCACCTAGGCTGCGGTCATCCTCCATCTCCTTATGCAAACCACATGACATAAGGGAAGCGTTTTTAGCATCTACCATTTCTACTTCAGCCTGTCATCTAAACGTGTATAGCAACAGCTATCCTAAGACTGAAAAGGGGTATCACCACTCCAAGGTAGAGAGGAACGTCATCAGAACGCCAATCTCTCACTAGAGATTCTTCAAACTACAGCTGCCAAAGATGCCACCAGGTAGATGTCTGGTTCCACACTAGGTGTGCCCGCCAGCTCTCACCATCGCTGTCTGGCCAGTGAACCACCCACCATGGGAACTGCCCCTTCCAGCCTCCTGTTGAGAGAAAGCACTGGGAGGAAGCCATGTTTTCTGCTTGTCCATTTCAGCGGAAATACAGGCATGTGGGAGACCAGGGCATTAGACTCTCAGAGAGAGAGAACTTGAAATCTCATGGGCCTTGGAAATACTTCATGGCATGAAGCCTCACTCCAAGAAAAATCTCTCCAATGCTGGTTTTAAGTAACAAACTTTAATTAGACATTTTCAAGTTCCTACAAACCGAAAGAACCTTAGATTGCATCACTCTGCTAATTTAGAAAATTATCTCATATTTAAAGAATCAGACTGGACTGCAATCACCATCAATATATATTGGCTTGATTGCGGATTGCTGACATTCAGTAACATTCAGATGACCTTTGAAATATTACTTTCTCTTTCTATTAGAAGCTTTTGTGTAAGGGTCTAGAAATGAAAGGCTCATTAGACACCATTAAAATGGGATTTATTCCATATGTGTAACCAATAATCACGTCGAATATTATCCCCTCCTCTAATCAGCTACTTGGAG